CGAAGCCAAATGAAGCGCTCTGTACTAGCGCTTCATTTAGCTAAGCAACCATTGGAAATATCACTGCGTACGTACAGTATGTACACAGTACAAGTGCCGTATTTTGTTTTTGACATCCAGACGGATTTTGCCTGATTTAAAGGTTTACAACAATAGTCGTACGTTTGCATCCGCAGTGTGACCGTGAAAGCATTCGTTTTATTGTTGCCTCTGGTCTATCGACAATTAAACAAACGGCGCAGAAATTAAATTTCTAAAAAAAACTGACACCGTTAAGTTGTTGCAGTGTCACAGCCCGTCCCGACGAGCCGGCAGTTAACCATGCAATAACAACGATAGAGGCTTTTATTACTGTACATGTAAATGCTAAAAATGCAGCTATGCTAGCAAGGGAATTATTGCGCAGCCGTTTTGCTCATAGCGCTGCATCCGGTGTATAAGATGTAACCTGCCGCATATCAAGACGTACATACGTGCTTCCGGTATTGGTATCTCAGTCAGTATCTCGATGCTTTGTTTTATCGGTTTACGACAACATGTCAAACACGAGCAAAAACATCGAGAATGCTAATAAATTTTAGAGCCAAGAATGTCGTCGATCGAGCTTGAATGATCCAGAAGTCTATGTAAATAGAGGGACCAGTACCTAAACGCTGCTAGTCTTGATGATGATGGGCATATACCAGTACGCGGCATCCAGTAGCACTACGCCCAAATTTTGTGATGCTCCGACATTCTAATCACCTGCAGCATCAGCGCAGGTATAGATGGGCAAGAACGGACTGCTGTAAATTGCCTAAATCTATCTTGTCAAATTTTCTCAGGTCCAGGTTATTCCATACTGCAGTCTCCTCCGGATTTCCACAGTCCTGCACTCCATAGCTGCAACGAAGCTTTACTCGATAATGATTCCGATACAATGAACATGCGGCGATAACATTATTCTCAGTAGCGAAGGATCTACCGACTTAAAACGTTGTACGACAGGTCACACTTACAACTGGAGTAAAAGTCGTAGACCGTCCCATCTGTGGCCCGGATACCACACCGTCCGCACCCAGTGAGCGTGCAATCTTCTTAAACGCTTCGTGATTTTGTGGTCCACGGCTGGGCAGTGGCGTTCTAGCGCGCGCTTAAAGCACCGCAGAGCTTCAGTTTCCGCAGTATCGAAATGAAGGGCGGGAATCACTATCAGCAATGCGAACGGTTTGCTCCTTGGCGCCACGTTGCGCATGGACCAGCGGGACCCGCCATGCACAGTTGGAGGTATGCATCCCATGGAGAAATCGATCACAAATTGGCGCACTTCCAGATACCGGCAGATGGTTTTCAGTCGCAACAGCGGTAAAAATGTTTTTCCGAGAATGGGATCGTTTGCGTAGTGCGAATTCATTTCCAGCGCCATGCGGCAATGCTTGACAAATATCGCGGAAAAGCATAGTTTCTTCAAACTGATGATTGCAGTTATGCAACTAACCACGGCTGAAATGCAGTTGGTACGGTGGTTCATATGGAGCAGAGATAGAACTTTTGTTTTCTGGCTGACAGTGCGCTGGAGGAGTAGCGCCAGTCGGTAGCCCTCGGTCCCCGGCTGTCCCGCCCACTCGGAACTAAGTCGTGGAAAGTCGATGGTGACGTACGTTGCCGCTGCCGGGTCAGGCAGCAGTTGATCCCATAAACTGTTCGAGCTGCAATTAGCAGTCTGGTTAACTCCAAAGCTTTTAAACATGCTTCTTAGAAATGCAGTCCATAACTCCACTGTGCTTAGTTAAGATAAGACAAAATTTCCAATCCTATGGCATGATAAACAGTTCGTTCTTAGACGTTATGTAATGGGGGGCAAAACTAAATGTGTTCCACCATTTCCGGCTACTGCTGATGTTAGCCAACTGGTGGTTTACGCTAGACAGCTTTAATGTACAGCGCTGCAGTAAGCAATTAGATTACAGGTACATCCGACAATTGCGGTAAAAGTGCATGTGAGCAGGTAACTGTAAGCCCAGTGCAATCAAGAACGACGTGTACCGTCAATGCCACACAACCTTAATAGCACCGCTTTACATAAAACAAGGTCAAGCCTTAACGTAAACGTTTTGTTTTGCCCACTATTACTTAGACATTTGTACTGTACTGTCACCGGCGGATACATCCATTTCTCACCGTTTGGCTGCTGCCTGCGAGTGGACATCCAAATGGAGGAGGATCTCCGAAAGAATTTCCGATGGTGTACCAAACAAGACCACTTGATCGTTTTCTAGAGCAAACCGTTTTCATGTCGAGCGGTTGTTCTCCAGATACTATTATAATTACAGAATACTATAATATTATCGGGCTGCTGTTTCCAGTCAATTGTCACCCATGTTCTCTTGTATGTATGCTAGTACTCGCGTACTTTTTGATTTTGTTTTCATTCATACTCGTACCTGCAACCTGCAGAACAAAGGCGCGATCGCCAGTTCTTGGTCCATAACAGTACTGGTGAATGTAGCTTTCCATAGCGAACGAGATCTTTTTGGCGGTATCTGCTTTCCAGCACTCGCTACGGCATGATCGGTTGGATTTCTTCGTTTGATGAAAACACGAAACGGTCTGGATTATGAACGTGATTGACCCTCTACTGATGCGAACAAAGAGCTTGTCCCATCCGAAGTAGAATATGTGTTCCTACAAAACGAAAAGCCCTCTTCATGCAACGGAAAAATGTAGCAGTAGAAGAAACTTATTTGAAAGATTGATCCCACATGCGATGTTCATGAAAATTTAATAGCGCATTAGCCGAATTCTGTGGCAACTGACCAACCAACCATACGGAGCCCGGCCATCCCGGAAACCCTTATCCAGTAGTGCAGTAACGTGGTGCTCCTCAATATTAGCCAGATAATCCAGTTTCTCCGAACGGTAGATCACTTTCATAAGGGGAACTTCCTTGATTTTCATAGGACGGTGCAGATCGTCGTCAGTGTCGTTGGTGGGCAGCAAACTGGTCATTTGCCAGTGATGGACGACACGAAACGCGGCATCTGGATCTCCAGATTCCAGAGAAACGCAGCAAAGATATGACGTCGACTGGACACAATTGCGCAGCAGTTTCGCTGGACGGAAAATGTACGGTCCAGTTTCTTCCTCGCGCAGTGCCACGAAAACACTATTGTCAGGCTGCACGCTGCTGTTCATCCACAGTTCCGGACGGTACGCGTACACTCGGTCGGATGACACCCACCACGGTGGGAACTTTGTACAGTCAAAATCGACAAAGACTTTATCGCCGTCCACGTCCTGAAGGTACGCGAGATACCATTCATCGCCGACTACATTGACCATTACCGTGTTATTGATGTTAAACTGACCACGGCGTTTAGTACCAGAAAAATATGTATTAGCTGTTTCTATCATGGCTCCACACACGAACGTCTTACTCGTCATCAGTCAGCACAATCAAGTCAAATATCCAGCTTGTGAAATATCTTTAAGTGAAACGAGCTCTTTACATTAAACAGATAAATATGCGTTCGTTCAATACCAGGTGTCGATTTGAGGCCATTTTCTTCAAAAACTATCAGCAGAAGAGCAAAACTGCAGCTTAAAACTGGGCCCTTGCATTTCTGACACTAAGCCGATTCCTGGTTTTTGCAGCATGGTGATTCCGCAAATGTATCCGTCATTCTGGAGTCTGGACGCGCAATCGTACTCTGCGGTCGTACGCACAGTACCCAGAAAAGCCGTTAATCAGACCGAACACGAGCACAAAACAGCATCTACAGCATTATCAAGGGCATTATCATGGTTACACAGGATTCCATATCCAGCTCGTGCCATTCGAAAAGTTGAAGGCAATTGCGCAGACCAAGATAAAGAAACTCCGGATAAAGAAGAAGCCCCGGGCGTACAACATGCTGCAGCCACTGCTCGTATCCTATGAGTTAGGGTTCGCTTAAAGGTTACGAATCTGTTTTAAATTTTGCCCGCTCTTCTCGGGAGGGGAGGGGAATCGTCCCCCTCCTGGGGTGACTGTCGTTGACTTTTCACTATTTAGGCCTGCTCGTTGGACGAGGCGCTGCTAATTCATGCGTCCAGGGGCTAGGGATTAATACAGTCTTCAGGGTGCAGTACAGCTGCGGACAGCAATCTTAACATTCTGGACAACAAAAAGAAATTGGGAAAAGCACCAAATTAAACTTGTCCAACATTTGTACTCATATGGCTAAATCTGAATTACGGTGGAATGGAGTAAGCTTTTCTTGCCGCTTGAGCAATAGTCAGCTATATATAACACAGTGATGGTGAAGGATGGTAGACGCACAATGTACAGTACATCCGCCTTTCTAACCGGTATGTATAGAAGTACAGTAGTTTGTTTACCATTTTGCATCTTGGGAAAAAAATGTGCGCAGAATTGCAGAATTAATCATGTGGCTTAATGTGTGCAGAAATCGAAAGGTAGCAAAGGAACGTTGCAAGGAATGCCAAAAATGATTTCGATATACGCAATACTTGCAACATGCTTCTACGGTCTACTGGCTAAATTATGAAGGTCACACCAGAAGCCGAAGTGCCGCCATTACCCAACACAGTGGGCAAACCGTAGTAGATGAGAAACTTCTGCAAATAAATGTCTTCCAAAACCACCAGGTGATTACCAAAAGGTCGAGTTACTTATCAGCTTCCGTTTTAAAAAGACTGGTGCCGCGCACACAGCACAGGCTATTGAGTGTCTAATTTCAGGCTTTCTCCGATTGCCAGCTGAGTCGTTTGCAAAACAAAGCAAACGTAAAAGGCTGCGTTTTTTGTCAACACTATGCACAGGAGCTTCGTACTGCAACAGTCAGAAAAAAACGGCAAGAGTCAGAAATATTTCCAAAAAAGCGGCAAGAATCAGAAATACGGTATATCCGAAAAAACGGCAAGAGTCGGAAATATTTCCATGACAACTCGTATCATTCGATGTATCAGGATTCAAGACCTATCATCGATTTAAGAGTCGTATGCGCAGATAACTGATCGATTTTAATGACGTTTTTCAGCAGGATATTGGCTCTTTTCAAAGGGAAAAATAATATGAAAAAATCAGCGGCAATAGATTTCGGGTTATCTTTATTGATTTCTGCGAGTACTTGGAGATTGTGTGCAACATGCCCAACAAAATCTGAGGTCAGGTACTCTCGAGCAGAGGCCGCAGTGGATCGCATAACGGCGAAGCTGGAAGAATGCTGGAACTATACCGGTAGTTGAGTCGACCGACTGGTTCTCTAAACTTCTCTCAATATACAGCACAGATTTAATGCAAAACAGAATTTTTAGCGTATTATAAGGATTAAGTATTCTTTCTTTACGTAATAAATCTGTTATTGTTAAACGTAAATATTTTAGGAAAGTGCACTGCTATTGGCTGGCAATAAAAGACCGAAGGGAAGCGGGAAGCCAAACTGCTTTAAATAAGGTTTTTCAAACAAATTTGAAAATACATGATTATTTTATATTTTTATTTTTTTAACACAAACTTCCCATTTTCAAATAATATTTTTTGTGCTCATAAATTAAATTTCAACTTTATCTACTTTTAACGCATTACCAACGTGGCCGGCAATAGATCCGTTTCCGGTTTTGTTGAACATAGAGAACCTTCGCTCCGCTTGCTTCGATTATTGCGTGTGCTTGCAGCCTATCGCCAGATCGAGCAGGCGGAAATAACGTACTCGAGGAAAAATCCTATTTGGCTGCCGGCGCTCTCTCCGCCCCCGCCCGATCCTAAAGGTTACGTGCGGCGGCCGTATTTGGACGAGACGATCGCCCTGACATGTGCGCCCGGCCCGACTCAGCCGAATATTGTGTGGAAACATAACGGTCAGGTGATTGCCGCCCAGCAGACCGTGGGCGACCTTCGCTATACCCGCACCAGCGACAACAACCTCGTGCTGCACAATATCACCTACGCGGCGTGGGGCAAGTTCGAATGCCTGCGGCGCTGTCAGCAGAATGGGATGGAAGCGTTGTGCTTGCAAGCGGAGCACTGGGTGTTTCCCAAACCGTTGCCTGAAGGCCACGAGGTGTTCGCGCAGCGAATGCCACCGGTGATTGTGCCGCGATATATGCCATTTTCGTCCACCTGCCAACTGGCGTTCCCTTGTAGCCAGGATCCGCAGCAGCACTTCATCTGGCGCTATCAGGGAATTTACCTTTCCTGGCCGCCGGGTCACTACCTACAGCAGACGTCCTGTATCGAAACCGACCGGCAAACGCTGATGGTCCACACCAACACCTCCGAAGTAACAGGGACCGATGGCCGCCGACACTGTGCTTCGAGGCTGACCCTGCAGGTTCCCTGGCCGAATCACACGGGCGCCAAGCTAGCGTGTTGGGCGCGCTCTGACACCACCCAGCAGCAGTGGTTCATCCTTACCACTCCCGTGCAGTTCAACGGAAGCCTGCCCTTTCCAGGATAACTGATGGTGGCTTGTTTCGTATTTTACGGGAAGGCGAATAAAAACGAACACGGCTAAATAATACTGCGCTCATATTGTAACAAAATTACAGTATGATCATGATAATTTATGTCCGCGCTCTGCATACCGTAATTATCGAATTTGAAGCCCCCCCCCCAAAATACAAGCCCCCCCCCGTAATTAGAGCCCACCCCTAAGGTCGTTTGAAAGTTATAAGCCCCCCCCCCCCGAAATAGAGGCCCATGGGCTTAATTAAATACCGTAAAGCCCATATAAAAAAATGCCAAAAAGCTGGTTTGAAAAATTGAAGCCCCCCCCCCTAAATACAAGCCCATGCCCGTAATTGGAGCCCACCCCGTGGGTCATTTGTAATATTTGTAACCCTGGGCATCCAATTCGATAAATACGGTATTACCTATAGTTACTTCACCGGTACGTACCTCCATATTATAATGGCGCACATCATACACACAATACGTATGAACAAATTCGCAACCAAAGTAGTTTTGTCAGTTCAAAAATCCTATAGTTTTTGTTTGTTGAAATGCGTGAGAATCAGTTAATTCACCGGAAATGGCCACCTGCTACGAAAACCGCTCATCGGCTCTGAGATCGCATTAATAAACGCCGGCGTTTTGCGGCAACTCGCCTGTTCAGTTCAGGCAATACAAGGCTCGCCGCCTACTCGATACCGCCTACTCACCTAGCTGTAGGTCATAATAATCAGTATGGATATAATTAAATTTTCGGTAATTACCGAAAATTTTCTAAATGTTGAATATAATCATAGTAGGCCTAGTGGATTGCGCCAAATAGTGCGATTGTGCAAGATCCCTAACCGGCAAAAATTCGAAGTACTTACAGTACCTGCCTGTGACGACTTGAGTAAGTACAAGTATTTAGGTTAGATTAAAGCAATGTATCTGTATAAATAATAGTAAAACTCCTTGCCAGTATATTTATTTTCAGTATCCGTTTTTTGAAATTATTGTTACTTCCATTTCCTTCTGACATTTTTGAGGGACTTCACTTTAACTAGGTATTTTATTTCTTCCGAGTACATTTACTACGAAATTACGTACGGTAAAGTTAATTTTAATAAAATTAAGTTTGCGTGGCGTTAGAACGGCTTTGGATTCAAAGCTCGACAAAACAGCACACTGCACAAATGGATATGTGTCCAGAAAATCCATTAGCTTAATGGATTTTCTGGAAATCAATTTGTATTCCTGTGCAAATAGTAAAATGTGTGTTTGTCTGGGTACTTGGTCCCCTGTAAAAAAATGTTAAATATGGCCTGGACGGCTGACGGTGTCACATGAAGACAAGCAGGCTGATGCAGCGAACGTTGAAAACAAAGCAAATTCAGAGAGAGTATCCCGGGAGTGGAATATATTAAATACTCGCAAACAATTTTTACCGTAACAGTTTGCTTTATTAATCGTAGTATGCATGATTTGTTTTCATACAAATGATACAACGCAATGCCCGGACCATTTGTCATGTGGAAGATACATGTAACACCATCTCCGCAGGATCAGCAAGAAATCGATTTTCAGTGTTCGTAAAGCATCTGTGCCGGGGCGGATCTCGTATATTATAAGTCAGCAGCTCTACTGCGCTGTCACGTACGTTTCGCTAGTACCAGCTGATGCCAGCGGTTATGTGGGGAAGGGGAGACTTCCATTGAGCCGGACGGGATCAGTTGTGAGGATGAACCATTCCTGCTGGGTGGTGTCGGAACGCGCCCAACACTCCAGCTTGGAGCCGGTGTGATCCGGCCATGGTACGTGCAAGGTCAGCGTTGAGGCGCAGTGCTGGCGACCGTCGGCGCCGGTTATCTCAGAGGCGTTGGTGTGGATCATCAGCGTCTGTCGGTCAGGAAAAATGCAGGCCGTCTGCTGCAGGTAATGGCCTGGTGGCCAAGCCAGGTACGTTCCATGGTAGCGCCAAATAAAGTGCTGGTTCGGATCCGGGCCGCAAGGAAAATCCAGGCTGCAGGTCACCGAGAAGGGCATATAGCGCGGTACAGTGACCGGCGGCATAAGCTGCGCGTACACCTCGTGGACATAGGGAATTGCATTGGGAAAGACCCAGTGCTCCGTCTGCAGGCACCAGTCGTCCATTCCGTACGGCTGACAGCGCTGCAGACACTCGAACTTGCCCCACGCCGCGTATGTGACGTTGTGCAGGATAAGGGCGGGAGCGCCGGTGCGGCTGAAGCGAATGGCGCCCACGCTTTGATTGTCGCCTAATAGGTGTCCTTTGTGTTTCCACACAACATCTAGCCCACTAGGACCGGCCACGCAATCCAGGCTGATCGTCTGGTCCAGGTATGGGCGGTGCACGTGACCTTTGGGGTCGGGAGGGGGAGGAGAGAGATCGGGCAGCCAGACAGGATTTTTCATCCTGTATTTTTCTTCTGCTCCCAGGATCAGGTTGAAGGCTGCGGACACAAGAAAAATTCAGTGGCATTTTAACGTTCAGAAATTTTTTCTTGGCTGCTTTACAGTCAGCGAAAACATTCCGCCGTTGACTCGCATGCACAATTTAAAATGCTGAATTAAACTATTTAGCAATAATTTTTTCGTTTTCGCAAAGAAGGGTTGCAGCATATACGTGGGCTGTTCGTATGCACTCACTATGCACTGAATTCATCGTCAATTACATACAGCTGGGCAGTGAACACATGTTACACATCCACCAAGCTTACAGTTTATACAATATATTAAACTCTTCCTAAGAAGCGCTAATTGCACAATGTGCGCTCAGCTTTATTCAGCTTAAGTAAAATCATAGCAGGAATGAAGGTCTGTTATATACAAGGTCTGTAATGTGCGCCTTCATTCCTGCTATGATAAAATGAACAGCGTCACACAAAATATGATACATAATGGTGCTACGAATGATATGTCATATATGCCTAATTCAAAGGGCATTCCAGAGATTTTTTCCCCTGTTTTGCGTGCGTGCCATTTTAAATGCTATGGAATCAGTATGTTTTTTGTTACGTAACTTTTTTTCTAAGCTGTCGAAGAAAAGGAAAATTTAACCGTCGACAAAGAACGGGCCAGATGAAAATACTCATAATCTGGTCGGGGATATCTGGGCAGCCTAAACCTGTTTTTTTCGAAAATTCAGTTGTTTTAATGTTACTTCTATCATTCTATGATAGAAGTTCTATCGTATTCTTCTTTTATTACCTTTCGAATAAGCTACGGCTAGTTTATGACTTGGAAAGCTTAAATGCCCTTGTTATAAACGTGATGACGAAACGTTTTCGGACTTCCACAAATCAAAATATTGATTTTGTTTTTACAATACGTCGATTTTTTTGGTTACCCACTCTCTTGTTATTCCGAACCTCGGATTCTTTTACTCAATAAAAATTGAAACTGTTTTACTGGCCAAATTCAGCGCACAATGGCCATGATTTAATGCAATGGCCCAGGCTGTGAACCGGAAATTTTTTCTTGAAGGTTTCATATTTTTGCTGTCTAGAAACTGACAAGTTTCGTGTTTTGACAACTGGTTACAAAAACCTTTAATTATTTTGTAAAAGCAATAAGGGCATACTCTTTTGTTCTTTATTTTGCACTGCAAGAGGGAAGAATTTTAAACATAAAGACGTTTTGCGCCTCTAGAAATCTGAACGGAGAAAATGTTAAAAATATTACAATACTGCAAAAAAATCAGAGGATCGGCTGCCAGAAACCGCCGATACTCTTTTGGGCGAATTTCCCGAGCCTGATTGAACAGAACCTAAATTAAATTTTTCAAAAATTAGTAAATGAATGGCATTATTAAAAAAATGGGTGTTAAGAGCTGAGTAAGTTTGAGGGGGCAGATAAAAACTGAGAAAAAAAACTTTTGAAAGCCCCTTTGTGATACCAGAATAAATTTGACGTCCCACCGGTATAGTTCCAGCACTTCTCGAGCAGCACCGTTATACCATCCAATGTGGCCAGCGTTCGGGAAAAGCTGGCCTCAGATTGGGTTGGCCATGCGTCCGACAATTTTAAAATGAGCACAGAAACCAGGAAAAACAACCCGAAATTTACTGCCACAGATTTATTTGTCATTTTTCTCCTTGAGGACTGCCAAATATGCTGGTGAAATATCTCCCAATCCGATTGATTCCCCACAAAAAAAGGCGCGAAGTACCTGCAAAAAAATCTGCAAACGATTGCGTAGACGTACTTCAAGCGCAGTTTTGTGTTTGTAATTTTATAATAGCGCGCTTAACGTAAAAACCCCAGAATTTATTTCAAAACAGGTTTTGAAAAATACCTGTTGGTAGGGAACGATCGCAGATAAATACTGTACTGTAACAGTGAATACAATTATAGTATGATTATAATACGTATTGTGAAGGCAGTAAGCGCAAATGTTTACACAATAAATAGCATACAGATATACATAAATACAAATTATGCAATTAATCCTAGACTTCATTTTAAATAACGATGCTGCACAAATAGCGACTGCTTCAGCAACAGGCACAAAAAGCCGCTACAACATTTATTGATGATGTGCCATGATATTCCGTGGCTTACAGTGCTTCGTTATCTGATCGGCGTTCGGAGAATCTGCAAAACGCAGCGGGGGTCATTCGTGCTTCCGCACCAAAACTCTACTGTAATCACAGAGAACGTTTTCTCTATAATTGTGATTTTCGGTGCTGTTTCGTTATCGCCATCGGATCATGCGAGCCATCGAAGCAAAAAGCAAAAAACTGACTTGAACCCTTTGCATGCCTGAGATATGCTTTGTCGGCGTTCATCGCTTCGGCGTCCTCGGTTCTGCCAGTGTGTCTGGAAATGCTTCCGGTCGATCGATTATTTGGTCTGAAGCAGGCTATGGACAAGTGTGTAAAGCAGTATCAGTGCGAAATGCCTTCAGCAAATTTAAGGAAATTTCAGAAAAGTTGGGATTGGCCAGTCGTGAAGCGAGCATACTCACAGCTGCGCCTATTAGCGATGGCCAGTGGTAAGCCGCAAGGGATGGCAGCATTATTAGCGGCGTCCGAGAATGAATCAGCGGCATGGTTGCACGCTTTACTGGCAGCAAGCTTGGGAACGGTGGTGAATGACGAACAAGTTAGAGTTGCCGTTGGATTACGATATGGTTTGGCACCGCATGAATGCGCGGGATGCGGTGCCAAACCTTCCAGGTAACTTCTGATGGTCACCACGGATTGTCCTGCCTGTATAGTAAAGGTAGATGGAGCCAACATTTGGAATTGAACAGTATCCTGGAATGGGTATGCGTATCAGCGGGTACACCTTGCGAGTAGGAACCGAAAGGAATATTCGGGGACAACGGAAAGCATCCAGACGGACTGACCTTAGTGCCGGTGCAAGAAGGGAAGCAGCTTGTATGGGACGCCACCTTTGCGGACACGTTAGCACAGTCGTACGTTTGCGGTCAGCAAGGGCAGCGGGCGCAGCGGCACACCAAGTAGAATGCCGGAAACGGTACAACTACCGGCAGCTGGGCGAACAATACTGGCTTAATCCTTTTGCCGTAGAAACCCTGGGAGTGCTCGGTGAAGCAGCCAGAGAATGGTCAGCTTTCTTGGACGGAAAACGAAGGAGAGGTCCGGGGAATGCCAGTCCACGGCTTTTTTAAAGCAGCGTATCAGCCTCGCAATTATCAGAGGAAACGCGGCGGCTATTTTAGGAACTTTACCGGGCAAGAATTAACTGGCTGATAATACTCATTTCGGTTGTTTTTTTAATTCTTAATTGTGCAATGGGCTGTAGTGATGTGGATTACGACTGTTATGTTACGATATGAACGTCAATAAAGAAAAGCCTAGAGTCAGGGTGCATTTTGTTTTGCCTGCCTTGCGTTATGGGCTAGCTTGATAAATCGACCATGTAAAGCCAGTAAAGGTATCTGTACAGGCAGAGCGACTAAACGCGAACTGGTAAATAGAACGATGACCACTACACTAACAATAAAGTTATCGCATTGACAAATTGCGTTATTCCACATTCTTCAACATTTTTTCCCGAACTTAAGCCGTGATTGTTAACATTTTGAAGTCACATTTAGTGAGCTCGGTCACGAGCTAACTACATACGTAACGTATGTAATTTTAAACCTTATTATCAAAAATATCGAAGCCTTTACTGGGCTTCTGGTTACATACTGTAGTTACGTTACTAATAATTCACAATTATTAATGCGATGTACAAAGCAGGATATCTGTACAAAGAACAACAAGCCGATGTGGTGAAAGTTTTGAAAGTTATATCGCGGGGATAAGCAATGAAGAGCTGCTGACCCGGCCTTGTCTTTTTACAAAATAATAACTTATGATAACAATGTATTCCATCGCATCGAGTTGATCGTGCTGTCTGGCTACAAGCTGATGTTAAGATGGAAAACACATTTATATGGAAGTCCCATTTATATGTTTCCTAACTGTGCCTTTCAGTACCTAATTAGTCAGTACTTTTAGTAAGGCAGTACTTTTAGTACCTAATTAGGTTATTTCAAAGTGGTGTATGCAGGGGGCACAACCAGACACCTTCAGCGTTCCCCTGTACTGCTGCCGTCACACGGCTGTGAGAGGTTGTGGCTGAACTTGGCGCTTACTTACCGCGCCGAATTTAATGTTATGTAGAGCCGCAACGTCACAATCCAGCCGGGTGTCGGCAGCAGTACAGGGGAAGGAGTATTCCGGGAGTGGGTAAATTACTCGCGAACATCTCACAGTTGTCAGTGCCTGTGTCATGGCAGTGTAAGTGTCATGTGAAAAGTAACTGCCTCTCCTCAAATCAGCATAAAATCGATTTTCGGCGTCTGTGGCATTAGTACTGGCTTGGAAGAGCCGGGACCGATGTCGCAGACACTGAAAATCGATTTCATACAGTTCCATCGATTTCATACAAGGCCTAGCTAGACTTCGCGAGCTTGGCGGGTCGGAAGATTAATATTTATATGTACAGAAAACAAAATGCAGGAAAGCAAAGCCGTGTTACGTTTTCCTGGTCTGGGGAAATCTAAGAGGATCGTAGCAGGGTTGATACCTTATTCGAGTATCTTAATAAGGGTACCTTATCCCGCTATTATATTGCCTCGCCACCATCAAACCACACCGCCATCTGAAATCAAACTTTCGCGAGAGCTTTTTGGATGACGATGCGCTTGGAGGTGACCCTGAAGACGTGTACGATGATCTATGTACTCTGCAGGAAGCGTTAAGAAATGCCGGGCTGCATTTGAACATCGCCAAATGCGAATTGGTAGTGATCGGAGGGCCCGAAACCGATCGCCAACGGGAAACTAACGCATTTCCAGTCCTGATTTGCAGTTGCCACACGTGAACGAGTTGAAATACCTCGGCGCGCCACTCCACGATGATGCGGTTGCAGGCACTCTTGCTGTTGAAACGGAGAAAATTGCCAGAATGACACAGCGCTTAACACTGCTGCCTGCCCACCACGCGTTGTACATTTTGAAATGCAGCATGGGTCCAGTAAGGATGATTTACAGGTTACGAACTGCGCGGTGCTACCTGCAAGCAGAGCTGTTGCGACAGTTCGACAAAATGATCATCGGCTGTCTATCGAGCATTACCAGTGTGAACATTACCGAAGCCATATGGCAAGCGGCACTTCCCGTCGCACAGGGTGGTCTCGGAATCCGGAGCATTGAGAAGCTGGCCCTTCCGGCCTTTTTGGCCTCGGCTTACTCAGTGGCTAAACTGACTAGCGAGTTAGTAGATTTCGACCCGGAAATTTATTGTTGCGGCGCCGCAGAAGAGTGGCAGCAAATGAGCAAAGCTGACCTTGCGGCCTTCGAAACCAGAAAACACCAGAAGATTTGGGATGAACCGATCATCCACGGCACGGTGGAAAACCTCCTGGCGGCAGCCCAGTCAGACATGTCAAGCGCAGCCCGCCTTCGAGGTGTGAGCACTAAAGATAACGGCGCATGGCTGGAAGCGCTTCCAGCCGCATCCCTCGGCAACTTTCTAAACGACATCCACACTCAGAATTGCTGTCGGCCTGCGTCTCGGCGTACCAGTCACCATTCCACACCTTTGCAATTGTGGTGAATGGGCAGGAAGCCCAGGCACAGCTGCATCAGTGTCACTTTAAAACGCGCATATGCTTCCGCCGGTATTGAAACGGAACTGGAACCACCTGGTACTTGCCTCACCAATGGCAAGCGGAGTGACTTTGGTCCCATGGGAAAGAGGAAAGATGTTGACCTGGGACGCCACATGTGTGTGCACGGTAGCCTTATCGCACATCGCCGCAACATCGAAGCAAGCGGGAGCAGCCGCGGCGCGCGCAGAGCAGGATAAAGTGGCGAAGTATCGGGAACTCACGCGAGATTACCTGTTCCGTGCATTTGGCGTTGAAACACTCGGACCACTCGGACCGGATGCCTCTCGTTTGGTCACCGAAGTCGGGAAGATGATACAACAGGAAACAGGCGAGGTACGGGCGACGGAGTTTCTGCGCCAACGGATCAGCATTGACATCCAACGCGGGAACGCGGCCTCTGTCATGGGAACAGCACCAGCATCGGCCAACTTAGACGAAATGTTCTGTGTGATTAGGCCGCCTATTTCCGTAGTCGGCTGAGGCTGTCTATTCAGTACAATTTTTTCACTTTTATTGAAACTTGTGACTGTATTGTATCGCCAAATAAACAGTATGAGTCTTAATAAGCCAGCAGCCCTACTGCACTGTCACGCTTCGCTTGAATTTTTTACTGATGGCATGCCTACGGATTTGCTGGACTCGGGTAATTCCTTTGGCGCCATTAACGTTAGTTGAGCTTTCGAGCTCTTTTTACCCTGCAGATTAATATTCTAAGATAATCTGACGCCAACTGTACTTATCTTAATTGTTGCTGATCTTTGCAGGAGCGGCCACCATACACAGAAACGGATGGAGGGATTTATTATCCTCTACGAGGTGGAGCTTATTATCCACTAATAGTGGATCCACGTGCCCACGTGGTAGAGGATAATAGTGGACCACTATTATCCTCTACCACGTCGAGCTCTGCGAGATGGCATGTTGAAGGCCTTAAAACAAAAGCACGATGATCATTTTTCAACAAAAGTAGGATGACCGGTAGGACCAAAGTATGATTGTGATTATGAGAGGCAATATGAGTATGAATTCTGAATTAGGAGCATGAGTATGCGTACCGTTATGAGTTTTAGGTACTTAAGTTACGTACCTAGCCGGGATTAAGTAGTACACATATTCACATACACAGGTGCTGTAACCCTGTAAGTACAAAGTACTTTAAAGTTTTGCCGGTTACGGATCTTGAACAATCGCACTACTTGGCGCAATCCACTACCTACTACAAATATGATTATAATTATTATATTATCTGTACGTACTGTATATGATTATCTTCAACATTTAGAAAATTTTCGGTAACACCAAAAATTTAATTACGTATATACATACTGATTATTATGAGCATAGAGGCGCAAAGTCCGCATCTTGTACAAGAAGTATGTCCTGCTTATCATGTAAAGTCCAAATTTCAAACATTCCTAAAATTTTTTCCTAAAATTTTTATTCCGAGCTTAATGTTAAAACTTCGGAGTCAGATATTATGAACTTTGCGGGCCTAATTAGTCTTTGCGGGACTGGCGAGTCGGAACACCAATATTTATGTACAGAAAAAATTCCAGGAAAGCACATTTTCCTGGTGTGGGAGGACTCTAACAGGATAGTTGCAGCTGATCTCGTATATAAGCCAGCAGCCCTACTGCGCTGTTACGTACGTTTCGAGCTTACGGACTAACTGATTTAACTTAAGGACTTGTCGAACTCTTTCGATTTCTTTCTTTGACCTTTCGAGCTCTCTTTTATTTTTTTTCCATTTAAGAAAATGCTAAACCAGATTGCAATTATTATAATTTTTGCTTGCATCACTGTTACAGGCGCTGCAACCATCCATGGCAGTGACGTAGAAGAGTATGTGAACAAGACACGCTCCGTTGTAATTCCTGGAAGACTTGTCCGCCGCTTTGAAGACGGCGGCAATCGACATTAACAGCCATGCACTGCATTAATTACCATGCACTGCCGACATAATATCTTTTTTGTTTTCATCTGCATGGCATGCAGATCAAAATAAAGATGATATCATGTCGCGATCTTCCACGAATGCATGTATAGGCTGGGGGATTTCAAGTGCCGCATTGGTCGTTATGACGTGGCAGTTAACTCGCTGTTATTACGACCGGTCTCTGTGCCGGCACAGAGTCCGGTCGTAATAACAGCGAGTTAACTGCAGCACCGGTGCTGCAGACAAGAATCAGTCAGGTAAGTTTTTCTGACTTTCTGCTATTCTTTCTTCCTCTTTTATTGATATTTCTTTAATTTCCTAGCTTGGCTTGAAACGGTGGCGTCCGGCTCTAAATCTGGAAACCTTTGTAAAATTTCTGTAAATATCTTGGAAAAATGCTCTTATTTAGATTATTAATATATTATTGTAATGTACAAGATTGTGCCTCTGGCGCGCATTCGCGCTTGTTGGGATTTGGAATGTTATTATTAATTTGTAATGTTATTTGATGCAAGTTTGCAAATTAGGTAGTATTAGGTAATTATTGTTATTTGCATTCATGATCGTACTTGTCAAAATAATGCTGCTAACAGCTAACTGCAAAACCACTACCCGAAAGCGACTACCAAAACACCGAGTTGCCACAATCCTAAAGACTGATAATTATCCATACACAAGGTACATAGTACTACATACATACAATGTTATTACAGCAGCATTCCTGCCGTATCGTAACGCAGCTTTATTTCATATTTTGACCACAGCAGAATCAACAAGGCAGCATTCAGCGATTCGGAAGTACTCGTACAATCAGTATCAGATCCAGTTTAATTACAAAAGCGCACACCACCCAACAACAGCTCATCATACGTACACGGCCTCCTTGGCCTTCTTCTTCCCCGTCTCACTGCCCTCCGCGGGGCTAACGGCTTTCTCGTAACTGGGCGGCTCTTTCAGCATCAGCCGCGGTGTCCGCTCTTCCTCGCCACCGTTATCGAAAAACCTAAGAAAAAATCAACGGAAACGTTCAGCCAACAATTAAAAAATCCAAAATCTTTTGAATTAAAGCGACCTAAATTAAATAAACAAATTATTCGAATCAACGAACGAATAAAACAAATTAATTGAATCCGAAAACTATTTTAAACGAAAAACTACATTAAATCACATTTTAAAGTAAATTCCTAAATTATTCAGAATAACTTGATTAATCTGGATAACAAATCCAAATTAATTAAATTATTTCCGCCAAATTTTTATTAAAAAATACTTCCATGTAAAAAAACTCCAACCAACGACAAAACCATTTTCTCCGTCATAACGCACCTTCTAAAGGTGAAATGCAGGAACGGCTGGATCCCCGCCCAGTTCTCCTCCTCCCCACTGTGCCCGCCCCATCCTTCCACCGGGGAGGGCGTGTCGGTGAAATCCTCGAAGTTGGACGTGTCCAGATCGTGCTGCAGCTGCGGCCGATGCGGCGACAGCTGTTTGCGGATACTCCGCAAGTCCAGTCCGTGGAAGAAGGGATGGTTCTTGATCTCCTCGCAGCCGCGCACCGTGCTGGGCACGAGGGGATCGGGGGACGGGGCGTAGGGGGAGAAACCGTTGCCGAGACGGTCCTCGGCGTCGCTACACAAGCACAGGATCAGATCGCGGGCCTCCGCGGACAACGAGTAGCTGTCCACGTCCAGATAGTGCTGCCAGTAAATTACCTAATCAAAAAGCAGCCAGATCAAGCCGAATTTCAGGCACATTTTAATCAGCGTCAGTAGCGCCTTTTCCGGTTATTCAACATGCGAGCGCAGGGAAATTCACTTTTTTTTCATAATAAACAGTGTCCGCACTCGGCACTAGTTTCAAAAGGTAAGGCAACAAGTGTCCATGATCTAAATTTCATAATATGGACCTACATAATAAATACGACGTAACTACGTAGTACGCAAACCAGCCCACATCTCTATAACCGTAGCCAACAAAATTTTGACAGCCAAATGATCGCAACAACATCGTTCAGTATGTGTTGCCGGATTCAGAACCTGTCCGGATGATTTACCGGCATTATCGCTGCTGAGCAGCACTTCCGGGGCCATGCATTTGGGTCTCTGACCTTTAATGGGTATCACATCTAAGTACAAAATGAGCAGTTGAGCGTCACCACCTGGGAAAGCGCGCACAGCCGCTTCAGCATCTCCCCCATCCCCGCCGCTCCCCCGCCTGGCCAGTGCTTCCCTTTGGGGCTCCCGGCGACTGCGATTAGCCCCTCCCTCCACCGTCTTTACCGCCTCCCGGTTTTGCCAGGCTAACGAGTCACTGCACACGTGGATGCTGTCGTCCAGCTCGATCGCGTTTGTGAACCGGACCGATGAAGTTGTAGTTCAGCGGTGGGTCCAGCGGAAGCCGCTGCATAGCGGACCGGCCGCGATATTTCGAGACGGTTGTCTACAAAATAAAGTATCCGGATTACCACTGCCGCAATTTCCCGTTTCCTTCACGTGACAGCTACTAAATTTGTTGTCAACCTTTACTGTTAAATGTATTAATACGATAAATGACTGGAAAGCTGGCACAAACTACAAGCACCTGTTGTTAAATTGCCAAATTGTCCCTTAACCGTCTTGCATCTTGCTGGAATTCAGAATTGTTCTAGACTCCATTTTATGTGAAACTACGCATTAAGACTGCAGTGTGCCATAAACTGCTTCCGCTAACTTTAAAACCTGTTTAGAATCTTGCTACTTATTATGCCAGTTTATTACCATTAGACGTATCTGTATTAGATAACCTTACCTTTCTTCACATCGCCGCAAATGTTTACGAAGCGTAACAACTCTATATGATTAAAATTCCCACAAAATTTACTGCTGCCGTATTTCTTGTGAAATTTATAAGAAAAGTAACAAGGAAGAGCTAATTTGTGTTATTTGTTTAGAACGACATATTGATGTTGTTGGCCATGGAGACGCAGGTGAAGCCGGCTGGCACGAACTCGGGCAGGTCGCCATTAGTGTGGGGACTGCTGTCCGTGCGGACCTCAAATGGCGTCTAATTTAGAACCAGATGTTCTCGGCCGAGATACACTTATCTAAGCCGCAGTAAACGACGATAGCTGGCTGCCGCCGCGCAGCCATTGGGACGCTACCATATCTGTACCTGGCGATCGCTGTAGTGGACGCCGTTGCACCTCGGACTGCAGAGGGCGACATGCTTGCACAGTTGGCATAACGCATAATGCAGCACCCCCGAATTAAGCATCGACAATGCCCGCGTGCTCGTTCCCGGAAGTCGGTCTACCGTTCCCGTACGGCTCCATCTTCAGTATGACATTGTCGATGCTTCGGGGGGAGCTGCACTATGCGTTATGCCATGTACAAGCATGTCGCCGAGGCTCTGCAGTCCGAGGTGCAACAGCGTCCACTACAGCGACAAATTCAGCGTACATACGACTAAATTACAAATTCATGAGTTGCGGCAACCTCCGCGTAGCACCACCCATTACAAGTCCGGCAACCTCAAACGGCAACGTCCGCGTTGCATTACAAGTATTGATTTAAAATTGCTGGTGCTAGTGGTGCGTACCGAATCTTGATAAACTGATATAAACGCATAAATCTCATTATTTTATCTACTGACTTAGCTAACAATTTAATATTGTGTTTAAGCACTTTAAGGGAAATGGCCCGGTACATGCTGTCAAAAATGGGATACATGCACTAAAACTTTCGCTTTCGCGCACTCGGAATCACTTTTTTGTAATACTTTATGTCATTCGAAAGCCAAAGATTTGTGTACATTGTTCTGAAAACAGTTTGCGCGCACAACATCGGGTTCGCGAGATATGGCGTACTAAAATGTGTAAAAAGTTTAAATGCATTGTTGTGTACCAAAACTCTGGTACTGCTTTATTAGTTAATTACATCGCGTATTGCAAAAGTAACAAGAAAAACAATAATTGACATCATTGCCGTTCAGCTAATTTAAAGGCAAAATACACATCTTCCTTCTCAACCACGTCACTAAAAGTACCGAGAACTGATACTGCATTTCCTCTCTGAATCTCGATACCAATTCTCTGACGCAAAAACTCCCCTGAGCGAGGGTTGCCTGTACAATCACAAATCATTCGCGACAAATCTTTGAAGAACTTCTTCGTCAGCGGCCCAAATGTTCCCGTAGTTTCGAACGCTAGCGGTTGAATAATGTAGCGGTCTGCCAGCCCGATATATGTACTTTCCTAACTTCCGGTTTTCCCGTATCTCCGCTGCACTTCCCGGCACCCTGGACGTCTTGGCGATGTACGTTTGGGCAAATGTGTCTGCCACGGTAACATCCCACACTAGCGGCTTTCCATTCTTCCATGGGAAGCCTGTCACTCCGTCGGGCCGCCGGTTATTACCCAATCTTCTTGAAACTTTGCTGTGAAAGACACTTGGCCATAAAGTCGAAAGTGAACCAGCTTCCGGTTCATAGCATTTTGTTCCAATTTTAAAACAAATTTCGAAAATTTAAAAATTCATTTTAAAATTATGGGAAAGTGCTATGAACCTGAAAACTGGTTCACTTTCGACTTTATGGCCTTGTGAGTCTTTGCGGCAAGTGGCCGGGCCCTGGTTCTAGTTACCAGTTCCGGCAGTTTGCGTTTAGTCGCTCTACCTGTACAGATACGTTTACATGGTCGATTTATCGAGCTAGCCCATGACGTAAGGGAGGCAAAATGCACCGACTCTGTAACCGGAAATGGCACTTTGCGCTGGCCAGTGGCCACTGTGCGCTTATAACTGAGAGCCAATGAAAGAGTTCCACGTTAATCATCATGCAAATATCTCAGGCATACAGAGGGTTCACTTTGGTCTTACTCCACACGGCGACTTCACAGAAATAATCGAAATAATAACTTTTCCAGTTTACCCGAAACAGCTACCTTCCGTTTTCAACCCTGTTAAAAGTTACCGTCCGGCGCTACGGTCCCCCAGGGCCCAGTGCACAATTACGGTGCATTTTCGTAGCCTTTTTGAAGAAAACAAAACCGCAGTGCTGTTACCACGTTTTGCCCGACTGCCTTTAAAAAAAACTGCAATAAGCTAATATTTTTAATCCATTTTCGAGCGTTTCCACCAGCAAAATGATTCGTTGGATTTGAGCTTTGCGGGAAAAATGTTATATAAATGGCTAATATGGAATAATATTACAAGTACTGGTGGTGACGTTAGCCCCAATATTGCGCTTCACGGGATTCAAAAAATCACCTACTCTAGTAGAATACAAGTATCAAAAACTGCTTAAATCCAAAAATGCATTAGTTGGCTTAGCTGCCTTTGCGTTCTTGGGTTTTCACTGTACCTCTCGCCCAGGCGAGTAAAATCGACGACGCCAACACGTACAAATAATTCGCCAACAGCAGGAATTCTTCCACATCACCAAATTTTCGAAAAAAATTTTGTCCGATAAATGGCTGCTCCACTCACTCGCCGTCGATGTTTTCCAGGTGCTACCATGATAAAACGGTGGTCCTTGCTCCTAAACAGCAAAAGCTTGAATCAAGGTAATCCCGTATGGCTAATGACGTATCAGAAATAATCCTGCAATAATGAGGACTCAGTAAGTTTCATTAAATATGACTAAATGTCACAGCTAATCCGGCATTTTTTAAAGTAAACGTAGATTCCATAACATCATGGCACTACACCAAGCAATAAAAAGCTTCCTAATGGTGGCTTCCAAAGTCGAAATTAGAATTTTGGTGCTGTTTATCTGTGCGTGCGTGATCACATACGTGCACAAAGAGCAAACGTGGCAGTACGAATTCCTACGCAGCAATAGTATCAAAGTGCGCCGCTGTTGAACTTTGACCTGTGTTACTGATTCACTTGTACGAGTACAGTGCATTTTTTAAAATGTGTAAAGTGAAGTAGCATATACTTGTACCCGCAAACTGGAATAATTACTGTACGTAATTCCATTTTTAATAATTATAAAATCGATCGAAGGTCGGATCGGGCCTGCCTGCCGGAGATGACTCCCGGGGGCGGTTAGAAGCCACAAGCCTTACAATGACTGGGAAGTGGGAAGTCGTAGTAGACGCGCTTCTCGTACTCTGTAGTGCTTTTTAGACATCCCGCGCTCACGAATTATGCTGCCTGATAAAGTGAGAGACACATGAAAACTGACAGGAAGTTGGGCTCTATATAATAAGCAACAAATGTCTGACAAAAAAGTTTGTCATATTCTCATACTGAGCGGCAAAGCCATGGCCAGTGTATTACAGGATGCCCCGTGTGCACTCATCTTCTAAAATTACGCAGCGCATGCAAAGTTCCCATCTAGCGCACTGCAAAATCCCTGTAAGTTAGTAACGTCACAGTTAACGTCCAGTGCAGCTGCCATTCCGCTGCTGATCATCAAATCGTCTAAACTTTTTGTCATCGTCATCTTTCATAATTAATTATGTATAAATTTATAATATCTTGGCAACCGGTTTCAGGCGAACATAAATACTGTAGTTAAAGTTAAATCACTTCCATAAAACAAAAACCACAATCAACGTATACATTAAAAATCGGGCGTGATCACTTTCACTAGTTTTAGCATTTGAACTAGAATTTTTCTTATCCTGACACTATAAGAAATTTCCGGTGAAGTACTAATCTGGCTGTCATGAAAATGGAACGCGACGGTAGGCAGAGTGGGTCTTGTAGAGGCAATGGTTCCGCGAAGCGTAGCCCGGAGCCTACATGGCAGAAGTCTTGGACGAGGTCCTGCGGTTGTGACAACAGGTATCGGTATCTGTACTGTTTTAATTTGCTGTTTCTGGCGATGCCGTAACGCCTTAAGCAATCCGATTTGACCGGCTGTAACACAGTAATTATTACGAAGCAGCATTCGGGGCCGGCAGTGGCGGTGGCGTCCGCCCATGGCGGTCCGGAAAATTGCTGACGGTTCGAGCCTGCCGCGCGGTAACCTTTTGACGTGGCAGCAGCGCTATATAGCCTGAATTCCTCAGATAAAACTTGTTTCGTCATAACTTCTATCCAAAACCTACGATAGTTATTTAATTTATTATCACCTTCAGTTTTGATAAAAGTCTAAATAGGTCTCAAAATGAAAGGAAGCAAAGGACATTCCAATTATTATTTGATTTATTTTAAAAAAATAACATATATATATAACATATATAGGTCAAAGGAAATATTAGTTTTAATTTTTTTAAGCAGTTCAGGGGGTGTGGCAAGCTTTCGCGGTTTGCCTAATGGTGTTAGGAATATTCTGTTGATGCTGGACAATTTCGCTACTTCACCGGGTACTTATCAACTTTAAGGGAGTGATCCCGGCCAGTATATGACACATATGTATACGTCTACATATACGAAAACTTTTGCTTTCGCGCAATCTAAACATAATTTTATAGTTGCATAATGGCATCATTTAACCAAATGATTTGTATAAATTGGCATGAAAGCCGTTCGCACGCCCAACATCCGGCCCGGTCGGGGAAAGAAAGGTACTAACCATAAGAACGCAAGTTATATAAACTTGTACAAGTACAAAGGATATGTCAAACCGCTACTCTAGCGTAAAAGGATTTCGTTTTTTCTGAATCATTTTTTAAAAACGGGTAGAATCGAATGGCGTCCTGGAACCAAAAATTCAAATTTTTCTATTTTCAAATTAAAATTAGATATTCTACTAACCAGGGCACGGTCACCGCCTTTAATTATCCATAGAAAAATTTGATTTTTTTTAAAAACAGAATTGGCATGGGAAACACGTGAAAAATTACTTTCATCGGCAATGGTCCAGTGGGCGTGGCCAGACACGAATTTAATGGTTGTCGTTATTGCATGTATGATGATGTATTGCCATTGCCATACGACCGTACTTCATATACACGAATAAATTCTTTTCCGAGTTCTGCGTAACCCTTTATCACTCTAGGTTTTACTCTTTCATTTCTTTCCATTTCCTTAATTACTTTTATTAAAAACTTAAATTTTTAGAGGATTTCGCTACTTATCAAGCTCTAGATACTTTACATCGATTTGTTGTAGCACATATGCACGGACTGTTCAGGTTTCAGCATACGTAGTCGATAATGCGCATTCTTTCAAATTTTTCAAAACAGTGATTTAGAATAAAAAAGTAAAAATTGTAGTGATAAAAGATAACAAAAAATTCAAAAAAAAATTTAACCGTGTATTCTGTATTATGTGGTATGGCAGTATTGCAATGACATATGGCAATACAGAGTACATCATTACACATGCAACAATTTCAACAATTAAATTTGTGTTTGGCCCCACCCACTGGACCGTTGCCGATGAAAGTATTTTTTAAGTGTTTCCCATACCTATTCTGTCTTCACACAAAAAATCAAATTTTTCTCAGGATAAAGGCGGTGATCGTGCCCTGGTTAGTAGGATACCTATAATTTTAATTTGAAAATAGAATAACTACAGTTTCCAGTAACTTTAGTTTCCAACTACAGTTTCCATTTAAACTGGCGTTTTTCATCTCACCCTGTTACGAACAGTAAAACTGCAACTAAAATATCTAAAAATCCATATTTAAAAAACTTGCAATTTTTTCGAAAAGTCAAAAAGTTTGCTTCGTGCGTAGTTCATCCAGCCATGCCAACAATTTTTTCCATATTGAAAGAGGAAGCTAGTACATCTCTAGATAAAACAACTGAGAAAAATAAAATATTAAGCACGAAAACAACGTGAGACGAAATTTTTAATTTCGACAGCTGGGACACTAAAAATTTCGACATGATTCATGTGGCGCAATTATAAACGAGGAACTCGCAATTTTTCGAAAAATGTTGTATTGATTTTAGTAGCTATTAGAACTGTCTATCTAAAATGCCCAAGCAGTCTGCAGTACGCGCGCGCCAACTAGTTTGCGAGGAGCGAACGAAAAGCGGAGAGGGCAATTTTGTTCGGCCACCCGGTACGAGTCGTACGCAATGGCACTGGCCTTGTCAGTGATAGCCAGAATGGTACTGTTACTGGTTACGGAACTGGTTCTGATAGTGGTACTGTGTTATGGTACCGGTACTGCTACCATGGTTAGTGGTAGCAGATATGACACTGTTAGTGGTAACGGTGTTTTTAATGGTACTGGTAGCAATAGAAGGCTGGGGCCCCGGTACTCTTATCGGCACTCGAAACGGCATGCAAAATTCATGTTTTACTTGATTCGGAAAAAACTATACATTATCAGTGGGGTGCACAGTTGGTTTGACCCATCAAGTGAAACTGGACATAACTAATCAGCGATTGAACTGCGATAAAAATGCTGTTAGCGCCCGGAGGTTTTGACGGTAGCTATTCACTAAAACGCGGTTAATGAAGTAACGGAATGGTTAAATTCACCAGCAGTGCAAAGTTGCAGTCGGTTCGGTGTGCCCAGTTTGATAGTGTTGGGCAGTCGGCAGCTCCTGCGAATGCAACCGGAAGCAACCGGAAGCTCGATCATCTGGGTATCACAGAGCAAAACACTTTACTACCATTTTCAAGGATATTACTGTAGGGCATGCTCGGGCAAAAAGCCGCAGCCGGATCCTGGGGATTACGAGCTCTGGCTTCTTCGGTACTTGATTACTTCGGTATTACTATTATAAGCGATTACTGTGCTTGAGGCCACCTTTATCTCTGTTTTTACCGTCTGTAACCTTAGTTATCGCTACTGCATGGGCGTAGCGAACAGTCAAAGTATTGCGTTATTTAATGGTTAGATGACCACTTGTCCTTTTTAACTATTCTTGCGTTTTTATAAATAAATAACAATTTGACTCTGTGGCGCCGGATAACGATATTATTTTATTGTAAGTGATCAGCGTTCAGCAGTGCCACAAACTGAAACAGTGCTCAAAGCTTCTACAAGGCAGACGACGTTGCGTTTTGAAAACAAGTAATTAAAAAGTAATTAATAAAGTAATATAATTAAAGTAACTAATATAGTGATTAATAAACTAATGAATAAAGTAACTAAAACAAATTTTACTTTCTCTTTGGTTTGCGCTTTTAACGATATACTTACCGTTTTCCATCAGCAAAGTAATTGCTGCCACTACCAGTAATCCAGTACCATTATCAGTAATAACAGTACCATTTTTGCTAACACTACTAGTACCATAACATAGTACCGCCAGAACCAGTACCAGAACCAGTACCATTACCAGTAACAGTACCATTTATGCACATATACTTTATTAACCGTATACTAAGCAACAAACATTTTTTCACACATTCTACACAAGTTCATGAGAAGCTGAAAACACAGGCGAGTTTCACAGCAACATCTACAACCACAGGCGGGCGAATAACAGAAAAGATCTCGTCTAAATTCGCCGTCAGTGGTGCTGTTCCCATGATAGATGCTGCGTTTCCTCGCTGAATTTCGATGCTGATACGTTGACGCAAAAACCATTCTTGCACAGTACCATTCTTGCTACTGCTAACAGTACCAGTACCATGTTACGTGGTACCACTACCAGTAACATTAACATTTATTAGTACTGCCCGCAAAAAGCCTTGTCGCCGCTCATTAGAGGCTTTTTGCAGAAAACACCATAACCATACCTTAACCATCACTTATCTGGTAGCTAGACGACCGCCATCGAAGTAGCAGTGTGCAAGATACCTTAGAGCAGGCGCAACTGATTTTTGGGAGTCTTCGAATTTATTTTTTTTTCTCGTGTTACGTAGCTTTGGCTCCTTCGAAACATTGAAATTCAAGTTCTCTAATGTTTTCTGTGCTTGGGAAGTCCACCTCTAGTGAAGTTAAAGTGTTTAGAAATTAAGAGGAGCCGCTGGAAGTCGGCTACCATTCAACCAGTTTGTATGGTATCCGCACTTACCATACGCTTGCACTTAACCATACGCTATGGTTAAGTGTATGGCCTCTATTAAACAACCACAACTCCATCTGCCCAAATAAACAACATAGAAAACTATATAATCTGCCCAAATAAACAACATCGAAAACCAAAAAACCTAAGTAATAAAAAGAAATAAGCGGAACAGCGAAAACCCTGACAAACATAGGAGAACATTTTCCATAAGAACACATACACACAATGAGAACACATTCGAATGTATAAAATAACATAAGAAAACATATTTTATAAGAAAACATAAGAAAGCAAGAAACTAGGTAACCAAGCCAATTAATTTTTTCACACCGCTCTCACACGATTGCAGAAGCCGACTTAAGGGGTTGGTGGTTGAAGTGATTTCCACCAGCCGTTTTGGATGTTTTTCACACACCAGTTTGTAATTTTTTTAGAATACTAGAGTTGTGGCATTTTCCTATGGAATTATCGTTAATTTATTCCAAACTTTCTGCCATCGCAGCTGATATAAATACGCGTCGCACAGTCTACGCCAGTTTTGTGGTGCTTCTTGAGGCGACCATGTACATTCTGCTTGGACAGTATAGATAAACAGACAGAGTTATCAGAGCCGCACACTTCATATTTATAGTGCACATTAGTACCCTTGAAATTTTAAACCGCTGAAGTAAAATTTTTCAAAAAAATAGTTTAGGTTCGTTATATTATAGCCATTCTATAGTGCATTTTATTTCCCGGAAAAAATTCTCTGATACCTCTGGCAACGTCGGGTTAAATAGGCCGGGAATTTGCAGAATACAAAGTGCAAAATGCTGCTGCATATAAGTATAGTAAGGCTCGTAAGCTAATTCCGTGCAGCCTGGGCGGCAGCGCACTTATTTTATCGAGTTTGAGCAGTTTGATCGAAGTTTGTTATGTTAATTTAACAATTTTAATTAACTTGTTTTTGACGGTTTACAACAGAACAAGTCGAAGCATGGCTGAATTTCTTGAATAATGGGATTATTACAGAACTTTTATTATTAAAAGATTTAACTACAGTACTTGGTTAACAAGATATGCACAATTACAGTACAGTCGGTAACGCCCGTATGCCAGCAGAAATAATTATGTACATGTATGCTACATTGTATAATTGTGCGCTTAAAAGTCAATCCTATAACATAGTTAGTAATAAGTTGTTATAAGTAGTTATAGTTATAAGTATTCGCAAAAAGTATACGTACTGTGCAAAGCTATATTATGTCGAATCAAAAATGCAAAATAACAGTCAACAGATAATTTATCTATCATTAATTGCAGTGCACTAAAGTCCAACAGATTGCTGTTGCATGGGTTTGTGTGCTGACACCAAAATAAACAGGGCAAAAATCATTATCGATCGCATCTGCATCGGCTTTGCACGAAGATAAACCGTGCACGAGTGGGCCCGGTGCGATTAAACCGCAGTTATACAGTTACTATCGTGGTAGATAGTGAGAGAACTTCATGCAGCATAGCTGTTTTCAGTAAATGTCTGCATATTTTAATTTAGCCTGGCTAACCACCAGCATAGAAATTATATACTGCTAACTTATTCCACACGTTCATATTAGACCCATAACCGTTTATTATTTTAAAGTAAAGCCAAGTATGGCTAAAGAATTTGCACATTGCAGTAGTGTATTTTTTTACTGGCACATTCTGCAGAAGCGTTACATATCTCGCCCTTTTTAGGCAAAATGCAATGAACTGCGTAGTGACCTGAAGAGTGGACGGGTTGTGCATTACTGCATAGTGCTGCTGCACTTAATGGTTGTGCGGATGGTGTGAATTGTTAACTGTGGGAAATGGCCGGTACGGAAGTGATAAATGCCGACCGGATAAACCACGGCTCCATGTTTGAGGGGGGAGCGGCACAGCACTGGATCTAACTGCTGCCGTGTGCCATTCCATTCGTGCCACGAAAGTTGGTGCAGTATGTCTGTCCGTTGGGCACCACGAAGTTTTCTTCGATGTATTGTTGGAAGCAGTACAGTTCAGGTAACTGGGCGACGCGGTGAGCTTATTGTAATGCTATTTTCAGAGAAAGCGCGCTCAGTATGGGATCAGACAACCACTGTCTCCGGAGCGCGTCAGCATTGGAAGTGCGTTGTCGATTGTGGCGGTTACGTTGGGCAAGGCTGGCGAAAACCTTGTCGGATGTACTGCAGCTACAGCAGGTACTACTGAATGAGTTCCAAGGACTGAAATAGTGATCATTAATGGACACTGTACGTGGTAACGTGGCCATCGCTAAAAAATATTTTGTCCATCATTGCTGTAAAAGGCTGCAAAAGGCAAAATTTTTACAAAATTCAAATAATATTTAATAAACCAAAATGGGTTTTTAAATTTTACATTAATTATTTCTGTTAATATTTTGTTAGTTTCTCTTTTTTTCCTGTTTCTGCAGCTGAAAAACAATGTCTTCCGCATATCTAAACTTCTTTGTAGCAAAGAGAGCTTTTAATAACCTCGCGAGCATACCCGCCAAAATGCATTGTGGCGGCCATGTTGTCTGTACCAGCGGTCTGCCTCTCTACTGTCCAGTGTCCAGTGGACAATGGCTGCTGGTTTATGGCATCTATGTTTTGCGGATATGTGAAACGGCGCAAACCCTTCTGGTCCTGTTGCTTACTGACCGGCATTTAGAAAGATTTTTTTAATAATTCAGAGACGCTGCAAAACGCTAAAACTTAAACGCCAAAGGCTACAGCTATATCAACTAGCTATTGAGAGCAAGTTGATTCAAGGGAATCATATTCCCAGAAAATGTATCGGAAGCGCTTTTTCGCTCTGTCGCGCCGGCAACCACCTTACCCACACCGTAGGAATCGACCACCATCAATGCCCAACTGGCGCAGTTTGCACCTACCGTTGCACTTACAGTTTCAATTTGAACTCTAACAAAAAATTTCTTGATAGTCCGAGCACTACCGGGTTAATGGTCGATGCCAAATACATACACCCTGTTGCTTCACGTAAAAACGTTACGGGGATGCACGAGTGTTGACGTGCATCCCCATAATCCACAGCACTGCCATGCACACGTACATACATATGTACAATTGTAGTTACCAATATTTATTCGTTCACTAATAATCTATGCTCCAGATACCGTTTTAATAGAAATTCATGATAATTAACTATTTTTATAGAATTTATATCATTTCCGCAGCAAAAATCGCGTCGGCTTCGCGGTCCGAGCGAAAATTCGAAATTTTTTTATACGACATACGGACTTTACAGGCTATAGAGTTCTTCGTTTGACTTTTTGCCTTTCAACTTTCGCTACAGGGAAACAGTTATTTGATGTGTTTCTGCTATTTTTAATGGAGTTTCCAGCAGTTTTCTTACCCAGTTTGCCCGCTGGCTCCGCACTTTGAAGTCTAGTTCGACATTTGTACATAAATACTGTACCCTAACCCTGCACTTGAAGGAAATTTGTACGCTATGAGCGGCACGGTGCTGTATAGCCGGATAAACGTTCAGCCTATTCACGTTCTAACATGCACTAGCTGCAAGCGGTGTATGTGAATGGTGAATGCGGTCGTACAAGTGCGTGTGGCTGCACTGTACAAATTTCCTTCAAGTGCAGGGTTAGGATACAGTACATCATTTGCCCAGACAGCTTCCACAAATACCCGTCATATTGAACAGTAATCCAGATATCGACACGATTTGCTGCTCGAATTTACTCCAAATTGGTCGCGCATCCTTATATCAGATCGCTCTCAGGGTGGCCACCATTGACTTTTCACTATTTCGGTCCCTGAGTGAGTCGGCGAAACAGGTGCGAAGTAGAATCTGGAAGTCGGAAGTGGATCGAACTCATAGAACTGTGGTTAATGGTAGAAACGCGAAAACGCCGCGCACAGCGGCCGAAATGACAAACTTGCAGAAGAAAATTATGTGGTCCAGGATAACCGTTTTACCAGGGTCCAAAGTTGTTAGTTGTGATGTTGCCTAAAGCAAAATATTTGACAATAAGATTTTTTATAAAGTGAAAAAGCATCACAGTTTGTCAAAAAAAAGTCAAAGTTGGTTGTTCGTCGGATTATCTTTAGCTTAAAATGTTTATTTAGACGGATGGAATTTCTCAATATGTACAAAGCGAGCTTCGCTCAGCAATTATACGTACAATCAAATGAAGATAAAGTAACATGCACAACTTGTTGCGCGCTGCAGAAAACAATCAAGAAAATGCTTGGACTGAAACTTTTAAGTTCCACACTGCCGTATCACACATGGTTCGCAGACTCCCTGCTGCTTTTCAGTTAACTGTTTCCTGCGCCGCCGGAGGTATGTAGTAACCAAAGTAAAACCAATACTATCCAGTACAATTATTTGCCAAGCGCGGACGCGCGAGGCACACCTCGTATATATCGATGATTTAGTAGGCATGGTTACATAACTAAGAGTTTTATTTCATTAACGGGTACCTTCAGTAATTCATTTCCAGTGCAAAGGAGCTTTGAAATTTTCGCAGTATCTTTTCCTTTCTGCTTGAAAATGCCTCTTGAACAGAAGAAAACCATTAACCATGCGAATATGCAATGGGAACGTCACAGAGCAGCAGTAGAGGTTTAACAGGACCACGTTATATATTCGAAAGATTAAGTTGTACCTACTGGGTGACTGCGTGAATAATTTCCAGTCCTTAATACTTCTTGCTTCCGTAAGTACGTACTGCGTACTGTAAAAAGCGGCGGCGGTCTATAGTTAGCGTGCCGTAGTACTGCGGTATTGTTGATTTTCGAGTACTGTTGATTTTAATTATTTTAATAAATTGCAATTCAATTCGAATTAAAGCAGGTATTTTGTTTCCGGCTAAGGTGTCTAGCATGGACTTTAAACGTGGCTAAAAGTGTTAATAATTTTATTGTGTAACGCGGTTTAATACAGAGTTACTTATATAACCACAACTTTATGATTGGTGGTTCATGCCTCATACCAAGTCATACGCCCTTTCCTTGAGCAGCTGCGCCAGTTGATGCAATCGACTGATCTGAAAACCGATATAACCAAGATATGTGCCGATAATTCTGTATACAGTTTTTTGTATATTAATTTTGGACTCACTGACAAGAAACGTGGAAAAATAATATCTGTAATGTAGATTCTGTACGATGCGTATTGATAGTAGTCCATAAATGTATCCAGTACCATCTATCTTCCAGCAGTTTACGCTGTTTTGCTAGCATACAGATGAAGTTTTGTGGACCACATTACAACGGATTTTGTGTCTTTACCCTTAAATCTTTTTTTTATGAACTTTTTTTAACCCACTTGTTCTGTTTTGGCACACGATAATTCGCTGTGTAGTCAAACAGACAGTGTAATTTTATTTCTACGCCGGGAAATTTTGCGTGTTTAGTAATAATACTGTTCAGACGATTTTTATAAAAAAGAATCATGTTTACCGTTTTTGAGCCAATAGCAAGTGCCTGCATTGGGCCGGAAGTTAAAGATCTCCTGCCAAAACATGAGACAACCTTTGTGTGAGATAATCACTGATCAGCTTGAAATTTCAGTTTAGAATATAAATTAGGGTCAGTATAAAATAATAAATTAGGGTCTGTATAGAATAATGTATTTTCAAGGTTTTTCAAAAGAAATTTTCAAACAAGATACCTGAGCGCGCTCAATAAGAAGCAGAAGAATTATCTAATACGCTTTCCGGATGCGAATATAAGCACTTCGAAAGCAGGGCACTGAAAATCAGATTCCGGTATTACAGAGAACAAAGGTCAAGAAAGTGCATGTAACGTAGACGGTACAGTACGCCTTCTCTGCCATCTCTGCCGCTTTTATACGTAACAACGCGACCAAAGAAACGACGAAAATATGTAAATTATTCATTTATTTCGCGCCCACGAACGGAATTTTGCGTGAACTGATCGGCGCGTAATTACTTTAAAATTGCATTTCATCAGTCTCTCTACGCAGGCTTTCTGCAAACCCGCGCACAATCAAGTTTCGCACCCACATTAACATGTAATTAGCACCAGTTAAATGTATTTATACACACATACGAAGCATAATATATAATTTTGCATTCTGCATTTTTTAATCTCCGTTTAGAAAATAAATATATTAGATGTGAGAATATTTGTTAAAATTCACTAATATGCATAATTTCGTACTTTACCATAGGCTTATATACAGATACTGTATAATTATTACAACGTGATTAATTAGAACGATGCTTGTACTGCACAATTAGGAAATAATTTTTCGCCCAAGGAAGTGATTCTCGTCCGGTTGTGTTGAAGAGGATTCAGCTAATACAGCAAGCTGAATTCCACCGCCGCACAGGAACGTAGTATTTGTTTATACCAGCAAATACGTATTTCCGGCTTCTAGAGCTTGGTAGGTCGGTATTTCAGATAGACTGTTTCTTTGATTTTTTTTCTAATATTATTTGCCGGCTGGATGCAGTGAATCCCATTCAATGTGACTGGTTGTCCGCGAGACCAGTTATACAGTGCAGCCGTGGAGAAAACGTTAGTTTTGCATTCGTACATTCCATGAAAAATACAGCACGTGTAGCATGCACTCATATTAATTGTTATTTTAATTTTTCAATATTCTAGACAAGAAATTTTTTATAAGCTGTACTTTTTATTTAATGGATCCGCGTGTGTGAATGCATTTTACTGTATAAACTGGAGCACGTAAGAATATACACGGATCATCGATCTGGCTAAAGAAGGACATAAAACAAAACAAAAATGTGCTTCGGGGTGCGCGAAAGTGAAAGTTTTTGTGCATGTACACGAATATGGTGCGATGGATGATCTTAAGGGCTACTTCCCTTAAAATTATTATTTACAAATGTAAAAGTCATTAAATATGGTGTGGTCGGCTTGTCATTCTTTTCTTTATTTTACCTGTGGTACAACGTAATTTTATAATAGTTGGAAACATCAACATTTTTTACAACATCCAGAACTTCATTAAACTTTTCTGCTCCTTCCATCGTTCCCATAACCGATGCCGCGTTGCCGCGCTGTATCTCCAGCGACAATCTTTGGCGTAAAAATTCATGAGAACGGGCTTTGCCTGTGTGTTGCTCGAGTCGTTTGCCCAGTGCGTTGATACTGGCGATAGCGCACGGTCCCCAAGGGCCCATAGTTTCGAAAGCTATCGGTGCGAAGATGTACAAAGTATCTGCCGCTTAGGTACAAATAAAGCCGGGACTTCTTTTCTTCCGCTTCTTAGTCTTAGGTCATTCTTAGACTTAGGCTGAATAGCCTGTGTGTTTCGTATTAGCACTTGATAATTGTTACTCGTATCAATTTCGCAAATGTTTGCAAACAATCTTCAGGTCATCGTATATTCCGGTGACCAGCCGAATTACAGTGCAATCTGAGAAAGCCTGAAAGGCACTCAAAAGCTTGTGCTGTGTTGGCGGCACCAATCTTTTCAAAACGGAAGCTGATAAGTTAACCGAGTCGTTTGCAAAACAACAGCAAACGTGGACAGAAAGCTGCGTTTTCAACAAAAGTACAGCAGTGCAGTGCGTAAATACGTACATCATGGTAGTTTATTTCGTGCCATCAAATTTTAATAATTGTTTTATGTTTTCTGTTGCTGAAAGAATCTGGAAAGCCCGGGTGTGGTATAGAAATTTTGACCAATTACAACTTTAGCATTTGCTTGTCTCGGCTTCAGTGACTCTCATAGTGCGACTCTTATAAGGAGGTAAAAACGGTTTAACGTAAAAAACTTGGGTATTGAACTACGAATGAAACTGTTTTTTTTTGCAGACTCAAAAAACGCCGATGAGAAGATAGCGCGGCATTGTAAGTCGATGTATCAACAGTTATCATCAGTTTAACAGTGCTATGCGCAGACAGCGCGTGTTGCAGCATTTGCTGGAGCATTTTTGCTTGTTGTAACGTTACAGCACAACTTATGCTATTAATAATGTGTGTACTTATTGCCCTTACACTATAACAATATTTCTGTTGTCAGTAATACACCATTAAATTGACTCAGTTTCCTTACCAACAGTGAAGCTAAAATTTAGCTTCCAAAAATTTTTTATGAAGTACTGCAGTTATTCAATATTTAAATTAAGCTAATCGTCCCTTATGAAATACAAAAAACTGCGTTTAAAGTGCGTATGATTCAATCGCTTCCCGTTATCCAGGTTGTTTTGCAGATCCTTTTAAGTGGGGAGAATATCGATTGTGATGACGGTTTTCAGCAGAAAATTGGTTTTTTTCACTGGAAAAATGATGAAGAAATCTCCGGCAACAAATTTCGGGTTGTTTTTATTAATTTCTGCGAGTATTTGGAAATTGTGTGCACCATGCCCAACAAAATCTGAGGATAGGTACTCTCGAGCGGAGGCCGCAGTGGATCGCATAACGACGATACTGGAAGAATGCTGGAACTATACCGGTAGATAAGTCGACCCACCGGTTCTCTTAACATTGAGCACATACTTAATGCAAAACAGAATTGTGTGTCTGCTAGCGTTTTAGCATTATGTTTTCCTCCTTTACGTAATTGTTATTATTAAACCTAGATATTTTAGGAAAGTGCACCGCTATTGACTGGCCCTAAAAGGCACCGAAGGGAAACGCGCGGGTAATCAATTTACTTTAAATGAGCTGTTTACCAAGTTTTAAAAAAAAGTTTAAAATATATTATAATATTTTTTTTTAAAAACAGATTTCCCATTTTCATTTATTATTTTTTGTGTTCGCTAAACTTATATGATTTTCCTGTTTTTAATGCGTTACCGACGTTACCGGCGGAAGTCCCGTTTTCTTGAACATGAAGTTCCTTTACTTCGTCCATCACGCATTAATGACAGGAAAATAATATTGAGAAATATATTTATTGAACCAAAAAAGTATAAAATAAAATCTGGGAATTTTTCAAACAAACATTATAATAATACATAAACACATAACTGGGTTGGTTTTAAAAAATATTTGGGTTGCCGCTCCGTATGGGTCTTTTAGTGCCAGCCAACAGCAGTGCACTTTCCTAATTAAATTGCATTTTCTTGATTTATGCGTCGACGTGACCGGCGAAAGCCCTTTTTCTTGAACATATACATACATGTACAGATATACCGGGTGGCCGAACAAAATGGCCCTCTCTGTTTTCGGCTTGTTTCTCTCGAACCGCTCATCGCACCACAAACTGTTAAGACTCATTCGAGAGATAATTTTATTGGCCACTCAAAATAACAAAACTTATTTATGAGAATAAGCTACGCGGATTAATAATTATGCCAGTTGAAATTACGTAAAAGATAATTGTGGCCCAGCTCGCTTGAGTCAGAATCTCGCGACAATTTTTCCCGTGTGCGATATTTGAATATTGTTGAATGTTCTAGTAAGATCAATGGTTTCTTTTTCCAACATTAAAAATTTTATTGGCATGCTGCTTGCGTAAGTTGAGCTAAACGGTCAGCACATTTTGTGACTTTACGAAAAAATTCCAATTTTTTTTCTGATTCTTTTTTGCTGTTTTTGTTAACATATTTTTTGCGCGACAGGCCGCAATAAAGAACGTCGGTTTAACTGGATAATGTAGCCAAGATATTGTCCTTACAGAAATAAGTTTGATCGAAATCAGTTTCCCACTCACTAATGAAAAAAATTATTTTCGAGAGGTTTTTCTGCGGATTTCATGAAAATTTATTGCGTAAGGCCTCAGGCCTCCTGTGTGTTGACCGAAAAGGGTCACTGAAAAGCTGAAGTTCAAACCAGTAAAAAAAATATGGAATAATCCCTCTATCAGAAATCGAAAGATGGCAGTCAGCCAGTCACTAACTTGTTCAGCTGGATAGCAGGATTTTTCAATTTAGAGCTGGGAAATTCGAATTATGTTTCCCGGGGTGCCTCCATTCCACCCTTTTTTGTAAAACGATTTAATGAAAATTCAAACCTGTTTCTATTGTCCGGTTAACTTAGTTTTTATATGTCATAAGGATTGCCCTTTTGAATGAGACTAATACGAAGTCAGTCAGACACTGTACAGATTCAGCACGCCCCGATAAAATTAATCAGATGGCCATTTTGTTCAGCCACCCGGTAGAGAACCTTAACTCCACTGTTTCGATTATTACTTGTGTTTGCAGCCTATCGCCAGATCGAGCAGGCGCACATAAGGTACTCGAGGAAAAATCCTGTATGGCTGCCGGCGCTCTCTTCGCCCACACCCGATCCTAAAGGTAACGTGCGGCGGCCGTATTTGGACGAAACGATCAGCCTGGTATGTGCGCCTGGCCCGACTCAGCCGAATATTGTGTGGAAACATAACGGTCACGTGATGGCCGCCCAGCAGACCGTGGGCGACCTTCGCTATACCCGCACCAGCGACAACACCCTTATCCTGTACAATATCACCTACGCGGCGTGGGGCAAGTTCGAATGTCTGCAGCGGTGTCAGCAGAATGGGATGGAAGCGTTGTGCTTGCAAGCGGAGCACTGGGTGTTTCCCAAACCGTTGCCTGAAGGCCACGAGGTGTTCGCGCAGCGAATGCCACCGGTGATTGTGCCGCGATATATGCCGTTTTCGTCCACCTGCCAACTGGCGTTCCCTTGTAGCCAGGATCCGCAGCAGCACTTCATCTGGCGCTATCACGGAATATATCTTTCCTGGCCGCCGGGTCACTACCTACAGCAGACGTCCTGCATCGAAACCGACCGACAGACGCTGATGGTCCACACCAACACCTCCGAAATAACAGGGGCCGATGGCCGCCTACACTGTGCTTCGACGCTGACCCTGCATGTTCCCTGGCCGAATCACACGGGCGCCAAGCTAGCGTGTTGGGCGCGCTCTGACACCACCCAGCAACAGTGGTTCATCCTTACCACTCCCGTGCAGTTCAACGGAAGCCTGCCATTTCCAGAATAACTGACGGTGGCTTGTTTCGTATAGTACGGGAAGACGAAAAACGATACGGCCAAATAATACTCCGTTCATATATTAACAAAATCAGAATTTGATAATTTACTTCCGAGCTGTACATATATTTTACACCGGTACATGCATATGACACCGCGCGCAAAATTCAACAGTCAAAAAGGTCAAGAGTTTTCAAAAAACTCAAAAAGGTCTAGAATTTTCAACTGACATGCAAAACTCATTAGGTTGCGAATTTGTTCATAAATACGCTGCGTGAGAATCAATTACAGTAATTTGCCGGAAATGGCCGCTGCGGAAGCCGGTCATCAGCTCTGAGGCCGCATTGATAAACCTCCGCGTTTTGCGGCAGCTAGACTGTTCAGCTAAGATCGCCACCCCTCGATCCGGGCGCGCGCGTAGGTTTGCGACTTGATCCCGTTCAAGGTACCGTCCAAGTAAAATAATATGTTCTCCGTCGGCCTGAATGCCGTATTACACGTACACCGCCGCAAAGCTTTAAAGCTATAAATACATGAATACAGCAAAATATACGTCTGTATTATTTAATCTTTATATTCATGAAGATATCGATCTATAAATTCTTATACACTTACGTCCTTTTTTTACATCCTTACGTCCTCTTACGGCCTTTTTTTTCTTACATCCTTTTAGCTCCAGATTTTTTTTACTAACGTGCAACGGTAATTAAACTAATTTTTTTTTATCGTAAGGATGAATGAACTATTCGTTTGCCCTGTATGTACAATTAAAATAGGTAATGAAAATTAATAGTAAGTGCTGAATGCAAAACACACTCGTATTATGCATGAATAATACTGAATAATACGAATATGTTTTCCATTCGTGCACAAAACGTACTCGTACTGTGCACGAATGGAAAACATATTCGTATTATTCAGCATTTGTTAACATTCTAGTCATTCTAGTCGTTAACATTCTAGTCGAACCGCTAACTAACAACAACTTATCGAGAATACAACAAAAAAATTTATAATTATTATCAGGTCTTGTTTAATGAGCACTCGCACTGTATAACAGTACAGAATACTGGAATCTGTGATGAAGTCCAAAGGTACTGTACGTACTGTATGTACTCGTACAGTCAAGTCCACAGTATGTAATGTTAGATTCAGTTCACGTAAAGTCTACGGCAAACATGGCAACAAAGTTTCAAATGACCACTGGACTTCAGGAATAATATGTTTGAAAATTTTGACCAATCTATGACCATCACTACATTGAGAGGATTCTAACGCCCTTTATTCAGTGAAAACTGGATGGGGGGAACAGTAGTTAACCGCGGAGAACGAAAATCCTGACACAGATGATTATAGTATTCATAAAACATCGCGGGCATCGTCAATCATGTATACAGAGTTACGGATGTAAGTACAGTAACTAATTGGCGACGTTTCTTTGTCGGCTTGTAAAATTTCTGTGTTTTTGTTTAACAAAATCTATTTTGTCATTATCGATTATGTGCCGATGGAGATTGGAGATAAAAATGTTACTTGTCAGACGTTATCAGTCGACGCGGTACGTGATATTCTCAAACCGATAGGTACTATTATATAAGTGTATCACATGGCCATTCCTGTGATTCCCTCATGCGAAACACGCAGACTGTTTATAAATAGAGTGTATTTATAAATACTTACTCTAGACTTTACGGGCTTCGCGTGTCGGAAGACTAATATCTGTTGCTTGCGGCGGTGTCGGGTGTACATGTTAAGGCATTTATGTCGACGGAGAATATGAATATATTGCAACAACAGCCTATATGGCTGCTCTTCTTGTGTGGTGGCGATCAGCCTTTACCACGATTATGCGGCTGTTATGTGATGTACAGATAAGGTTGGCACGGCCGTCGGCGAGGCGGCAGGATCTGAACATAACAATAATTACTTATGGTTAGGTGGCATCGGTTGGGATGACGCGGTTCATCCCAAGCGGTCAAACGGAAAAACGTAAACACAAGGCATAGCAAGGTTTCTTATTGCAAGAGATTCAGCAAGAATTAAGGCAAGGGAAGCGGCAGAAGAAGCAAGAATCCCAAGTCTAAAAATGTGAATTGTAGATATCGAGAGAAAGTCCGGCAGAGTGCATAGAAATGTGAAGAATCGGAACGCTCCAATGCTCAAATTCGGCCGCGTTTGGCACCATTAGAAAGAAGACGAAATTTTACAGGTGATAGTGTTGTTAAAAGGTTCCCAAGTCTGTTAAGTTTAAAAGCATAAGCGTTTAATCGAGCGAGGAAAATTCTCGATACAGAAGATTAGCCCATAAGCGTTCTCTCTGCTCCCTTCCTCTGTCTCCGGATCAGCTCAGAAAGTTTTATTACTTTGCGCAGGTAAAAAGAGAGTTGACTCTGTCCTTCTGCACTATTGTAGAGCGGCAATGGTTCAATCCACTGCCTAGTGCCTACTCTGATAATCTGATTATATTCAACATCTTGAAAATCTTCCGTAATTACCGAAAATTTAGTTATATACATACATATACTCAACTGGATTACTGATTATTATGAGCATACAGGTGAAAGTCCGTATCTTATAAGAAGTATGTCCTGCATATCATGTAAAGTCCGAACTTCCTAAAATCCTGCCCTCTAAAATCGATTTCAAAACTTTCTAACAGTTTTATTTTGAGCTTAATGTCGAAACTTCAAGGTCGCATATATGACTTACATATTATATTACGAACATGAACTTGGATGCAAGCATCAAACCTTATTGTGTCAATATATATCGAAGCTTTTACTGCGTTGCTGGCTACATGTTGTGCAGTTACGGCATTAATAATTCAGAATTATTAAAACAATGTGCAAGATAGAGTGTTTCACAATAATCGCAATGGTGGACTGTTATGTCCCGCGGATATAACTAAGCAATAAAAAGAGATTCTTTCACAGTAGTACCATGGCAAAATAAATCTGAGTATTTATTTACGCTAGGTCGTATTTATTTTGCCATGGTAGTACTGTACGTAAATGCTTCGTAAAATCGGAGCTATGTAAGTAACAGTTGCATGCAGTAGGCTAATTCAGTGCAATGTGTAAATAGTAGAGTAGTAAAAGTCCTTGCCAATATTTTTAGCATACGTTTTCGAAGAACTGATTACTTCTAATTACTTCTTACTTTTTTAGGGCATTTACTTACAAGGTATTTTGTTTTCCAAGTACACTTACTTGCTAAATTAAAGTGAATTAATAAAAATTAATTAAGTTTGCGTTGCGTTAGCTAGAACTGCGCTAAAACCGATTTGGTTTTAGCGCGCATGACATTTAGTGCGACAAAACCGATTTTTCGCACTGCAAAAATGAATTTACAGAAAATCCATTATTGAACTTTCTGGAAATCCATTTGTTTCGCTGTGCATTCATAAGATAAGCAGCTTTTTAACGGGAGTTCAGACGCTGCACTTTGCATGTACAAACAGATTCAGAGGGTATTCGGGTAAATCAGTACTCTCAAACATCTCAGTAATACCGCGATAGTTTACTTTACTTTCCAGTAAAGTAAACTATTGCGGAATCTGACACCTGGAAAGGGCAATACGGCTTCGCTTTCCTGGAACTTTTTTCTGTACATAAATATTAGTCTTCCGACCCGCCATGCAAGCCCGCGAAGGCTAATTAGGCCATGCCGGCTTGGAAGAGCCGGCATATGCCAGGGACAATGAAAATATCTTTTTTTGCTGATTTTGCGGAGACGCAGTCACGTGTGTTTTTCACAGGACACACATGCGGAAGACTAATATTTACATACAGAAAAAAAATTCCAGGAAAGCGAAGCCGCATTACGTTTTCCTGGCCTGGGAGACATCTAACAGGATCTTAGTTGGGGCGGGTCCCCTATATAAGCCAGCAGCCCTGCTACGCTGCCATCGTTTCGCTCAAATTTTTGTAACTGATCGCAAGGTTACGGACTTGTTCGACTCTTTTGATTCCTGTAACTCTATTAATTTTATTTGGCCTTTTTTATAACGTGGTATTCTAAGACAATGCTGACGCAGACTTCAGTACCTATTCTAATTTTCGCTTGCATTACTATTGCAGGTGCAGCGACCATCCACGGGAAAGATATGGAAGAATTTGTAAACATCACACGCTCCGCTTTGCGAGAAGATATGGCAGCCGCATTGAAGCCGTGGACGGAACAAATAAACGACCATGCAGATCGAAATAAGGACCAAATCATGTCCGGGTCTTCGGTGAATTCCTGGATATCATGGGCGATATCCAGTGCCGCACTGGTCGTCACTTCAAGTGCGGCTACTTGGCAGATTACGCGATGCTATTATGACAGATCGGTGTGCCTGTGCTGCAGACGGGAAGCATCCAGGTAGGTTTTTCTGAACTATTCTTTTTCTTTTTTGATGATACTTCCTTACTTTCCTTTAATCCTAATATTGTAGTTTGGCTTGAACTGGTGGCATCCGGCGCCAAAACCTGGAATTCTGTAAAATTTATGTAAATATCCTGGAAAATTGTTTTTGTATAAATTATTTATGTGTTACATACAAGATATGCCTCTGACATTCGCGCTTGGTGCAATTTGAATGTAATTAATAATTTGGAATTTTATTTAATGTTATTATTGGATGAATAAAGGTCAAAGTTTTCACTTCAGAAGCTTGTGATCATGTAAATCCTGGTGCTTCATAATTATGTCGTGAATGCACGTTTAATTAATATAAGTCCCGTGTACGTGAGTTACTGTATGACTGCGCTTTTATCACCACTGACCTGAGCTGCAACTTTTCGGCCTGACGAAATCCACTAATCGAATAAGATCAGCTCTTCCATTTGCAAGCGGTAAGAAGCGCCACTATACCGCCGCTATCCTCCATCTGACTGCTGTTTTTAAAGGTGATCGCTAACTTCTCCATCATGCCCGTGACCCGTGACCGGGACTACCATGACGTCCAGACACCAACTAGTACTCCGCCAACGCCTCCATTATAAGGAAGCCTGCCAGATGCGTAGAAGGGCAGCCTGGTCGATACGTTGCGCAAGGCACGACCAGCAGCATTCGTGGGCGGGCCAAGGCCCTAGGGTTTTCGAAATGATGGCCGAGACGATGCCGCGGTCCCGCCAGTCAACAATAAAAACGGCGCTGTTAAGACGTGGATCGGGTCAGGGCCGAGGCAAAAAATGTTTGGCTGCGCGAATCTTCGATTTAAAGGGTGACTCGAGATGACATTTATCTATACACATATGCAAGCGATATATTTACGCACATGCATCAAGTAAATCGCTCGTATTATATAAAGCTGGTTGACCTTAAAGAATATTTTCTGAGTTTCTCTCAAAGCCTGTTAACAATAATTTTTAGCCACTGGTCGCGCGTTTATGATAAAAGGGATACTGGTTGGAATATTTTCTCTCCTTCACGTTAAAATAAAGTGCTTGCAGTTTACGCAACGTCGACCAACTGACCATCAAAACCCGTGCGGCAACGAAGTGTGAAGAGACAACGCTATCCTGGAGTTGGTTAATTCGTTTTTGATGAATCGCCTTTTTGGTGTACTTCGACGCTTCGAGATATCACACGTTCCGGCTCCCCTTGCAAATCGGTTACACGTCGCGGCTCTCACACCGCTAGCACATACACAGTTACACACCAGTTAACAGCACACACACACATAATTATGTGTCACGGTGTGTATGCGTGTGTGTGTGTATTAAGTGAAGCTGTTTGTACGTTGGCTGGTAAATTAATCTTGATAAGGGATATTTTAATTTAGCCGGGAGCCGAGACGTGTAACCGATTTGCAAGGGGAGCCGGAACGTGTGATATCTCGATGTTTTGTTTCTGGTATCGCCTTTTTGGTGTATTGTAGGGTGTTTCTCTCACTGATGTCAGTTTCTTTCTCATTGATGTTACTCTATTCAGCGTTTCTCCAGCCAGGTCTAAAATCCCATGCTAGATGTCTTCCTAGCCGGATATGGACTACCTGCACTGACTCAAATTAAATCATACTAAATTTGTGCTTGGTCACGGTTCACGAATAACGTAGGTTTTTGCTTGCAAGTTGCACGGGAAATTTTAGAAACGTAAATTACATTTAATTCTTACCTAGAAAAAGGCTTTAAAATGCAGATTGTGCACAGTTACACTAGCAGCTAATGGACAAAAGTTTAGAGAATTATTTAACAATAATTGAATAACATTTTCAAGGAAAAGTGTTTTACAAAGAAACTTTCCGAATTTTCTCATTCATGTCTTTAATGAAAATCCCTTAGAATAACAAACGACAATCAAGCAACATCAACAGCGACTCACCGTACCGGCTGTTTCTACAATATACAGTGAAATAGACGGCGAGATTGACCAGAATGGCGATAAAGTAATGATGAGATGTGATGGTCAGTGTAATGAGTAATCCGTCAGTAATCCTCCGTTGGTCGGCGATAAAAAAACTGTCCTTCGTCATCGTCGTTTCTCAGCAGAAACCGACATTAACTAATTAACTACATATCTGCGCTGCCGTGATGTCTGCTGAGACGAGGGAGACTGGTGAGAAAACATGACGCTGCTGCGCGGCGTACGCCGAGTCGGATCAGCGCAGCACTGCATTAATTTTTGATGGCTAAAGCCGGTTGTAAACGCCGGTCGTACAAATACGTACAATATTCCGGTATTCTCATGTACAGTGTGTACTGTGTACCTGCAGGCTGCAGAATGCTTCACAAATGTAGCAGCTGTGAGCCTGTGCGATGCTTAATACACAGCGTGGCCCAATCTCGTCGATTCACTCGATTGTATAGCGACAGGTTCAGGAAAAAAATCAATAATATAAATAATTTAAGAGTATCGTGCAAATGCAGTGTTAATATAGTTATCAATACAATAGGGGAAGTAAGGCTTTGTCCCGAATTCGAAGCGAATCTTTATCTATGAATCTATATTAACTATGTTGTAATTATGCGCCCTACTGAGCCCAACTAATTCTAACTGCAACCTCGAGGAGGTTCATACTTTTGATTTCTAACAGAATTCTGTAATATTGACCGAAAGTAATCAAGTTTTATCTATACATATAGAATTCCAGATAGAAAGCAAATTATATATTCATTGTTGAATTAATTTCAGATAAAGCTCATTATCCAGGATGAAACGGTCGGTCTGTTTAGTGACAACGATAACACCAATACCTAATACACCGATGAATTTGATAGCTTTGAAACTGAAACTTTTGTTATCGAAAATAGTATAGTACATGAACAGGAGCATAGTACATCAACGGTATGGAACATGAACAGAAAAATAGTATAGTACAAAATTTTTGGATATAAATTTTTGATATAAATACTTAGCAACACTTTTTGTTACTTACCTAATCTTTTCCTAAACGAAAATTGTCCTTTTTAGGAACATAATTTTTTGTTCTAACTGATCCCGTTAATAGAGGTTCAGAGCTCAAAAAATGTAAGAACAACCTTTTTAAAGCATATTGTCTGCACTTTAAAGACGTAATTTAAAATATTTTTCAGGTGAAATACTATAAAGCCGATCCAAAACCACCATAACAAACATAAGCTTTTTCTTTTAGTCCAGGTTCTAAATTCCAGACCCAGACTAAATTATCATTATAAGGTAAAACACGCTCATAACCCTATGTGCACTTAAGCGGTATGACATTATTCGTATGTAATAAAGCAGCACTATCCATAAAACCGATTTTCACAATGATTTCAGACTTACTGGTATCTAAATTTTCCCAATCACGAATTTTACAGTTCGCATAAAACCCATTATTTTAAATAAAAAAATTAGCGCTTCATAAACCTATTTAACTCATCATTATTTCCTTCATTACTGTATCCTCCTACTACAATTACTCTCGGTTTGCATTTTACGTTTTTTTCTACATTCACGCATGTATTCACGCATACATTCCTTACGATTAGAATCACCTCCCATTACTTTATTAAGGGTAATAATACTTAAAAATTAACGCAGATCTCTGTGCAGGAAAACTTACTAACCCACACTGAAGCTAAAAAAACGTACCAAAGCCAAACAAAACACGGCAACCTGAATCAGCACCGTTCCAAAATCCAAGCCGGCCACCATAAAATAACCAATAAGAGAAAAATTATCTTTACTTCATACTTCTTCAAATCTATAATAATTCACACGCAACTTCGGCTTATTTCGGAATTTCTTATATCCCCACTGAACTAAAAATCCAGTTAACAAACCAAATAACCCTAACACTTTCTCGAACAACTTTTTAATGGACATCTCAACCTACTTCATATATACGAACCACCTGTTACTAAACATCCATAACCATCAGACTGAAAACATCATAGTCTACTCTGCTCCATTAAGCAACCAACTTTCTCGAACTTTCATGAATTTTCCACAATAATCCATCACCTTCCACCACCACAACTCATAACACACAATACACTCCACTTCCAGTTACACTTCATTAAACTATGAAGTACGAACAACCAATAAGTCGAATACACTTATGTCAGACTACAGTAAAACCCCCCACAACCTTCACTCTATTACAACATTCACCCCTTCGTGATCAGTTTCCTTCAAAGATATCATCTGTTAATATAATCTACTATCCTATTAAATTGTTTACAGAGCAATTTCTGTTGATATTGTCTTTACTACCCGATACTTGTATCTAATATTGTACTCCTATACAGATAATGTGCTCCTACATTATGATCCAACCATTATTTCACACCACAATCCCGTTTTTGTGCTTCAACAGACGGATCATCCAATCTCATTTTTAGGTTAATGCTGTTATACTTATCTTAAAATCTACCAGTACCCAATACAAAGAAGCAATCTTAATATCAAAAATAACTAATAACGACAGCCAGAAAAGATGCCGAGTTAACAACGCCATCTACAAATTTCACGCATCGTTACTCGGCCAAAACATTACTCATGTCACACATCACTGTTAGGCCCTACCGCTTCCTTCAATTGGCCTGACCCTTCCGTACTCTACGGCCGCCAAAATTTACTTTTGTTTACACACGGATATCGAAGACCAAAAACTGAAATTACAGTTTCATATATGCTACGACTGATCCCCGTCGTATACCGCATATAAGAACCTGTCACGGTTCACTGAACCTGCCGCAAAATGGAATGAAAATAAACATCATATCCAATGCACAGCTGCTCCTTGTGTTGGTTTTATGGTTTAGGGTTTATTGGGGTCGGTTTGGCTGCTTTTGCATGATTTTACATCGATTTCAGATCAAGAACAAATCGACCAACCATGCCATGCACTCACAATCAGTATTTCTTTATCCGATATTTTCAAGCAATTTTATTACGAAGTGTCTCGGGGCAACGGTTTTCATTGGAACTCCACTACTTTTAACTGGAATTGTTGCTTGGAAATGGAAGTTCAGCAGTAAAACGAAATATTGAGAAAATCCTAGTTACGTAATTTATCGTATAAGATGTGTTTTTTTTTTACCTTTCCTGGAATGTGAATGGCCCCTTGGGGGCCGGGGGTTTCTTCGAAACAAACTTTCTTCAGTTTCTAAAGCTAAATAATTACTTCAACTTAATTATTCCAACTTCTAAAGCTAAATAATAATGATTAAAAAGTAGTATTCAACTGGAATTACTCGCATTACGATTATTTTAAAACAACAGTGATCAGTGATGCGCATTCACCTATGCGCAGGTGTTTCTCGTTCAGTATTAACGCAGTTTGATACAGAGCAAATTAAATTTGTACGAATACTGCAAAAGATCAGCTCAGCTGCACCTAATTTATTCAAAAATTAGGTGCAGGATTTGCATAAAGATTATTCCAACAGCTCGTACAAGCAGATCATAAATTATTTAGCAAGTCTAATACGTAATGAATTCATAATTTCTCAATTGTGCAGTCAGGTGTTGGTTACTCGATTCGGGCTCGACATCAGAGAAGGTGCACGACACCGGCAGTGCCCGCCGCCCGCAAACATATTGTTATGGCATACAATGCAATATTAATTGCATCGTAATAACACGCACTGTGTACATTGTAGTCGTTGGCTGAACATAATGCATGTCTGCTTTCAGTGCTTTATTAAGCTTCGTTAGGATGACGCGTCCACTGCCTGACTGACATCACGCTGGTCCAGTTCCACAGAACAATTTTTATAAATTGTAGCACACCAAATTTAATTTAAACCGATCTTAAACAAAGGGTTGTTTTTCGTAAACTGTTTTGACAAACGTTTTACAAACTATGGCACACCAAACTAATTTAAACCGATCCTAAACAAGGGTTCGTTTTTTGCAAGTTGGTATGACAAATTGGGTGAAGTTTGAAAATTCTTCAGAAACCAAATTTCGAATTTCCTATGTTTTCTCAACGGAAAATTGCTGTTCAGTCAGCCAAACAGATTCTTGTGTACCAAATTTTCCATTTTAATAAATTTTTGCATAATTTCTTTAACACCATAGTTAACGAGCACGGCCAATTTTTTTAGTAGTCAGTAAAATTGTATAGCGAAGGCTAAATGGCTTACGGTTCGAAAGGTGGTGCACGAGAAACAAACCATTAAGCAAGCGGCGGTTTTGTGCAGCCACTCGCGTTATAGGGAAGTGGCCCGGTACATGGTACCAAATTAGTGTACGAGTACATGCCCGTAAACTTTCACTTTTGCGTACTCCCAAACACATTTTTGTTTCCGTTTATGACATTCTGTAGCCAGGCGATTTGTTTAT